GGCGTATAATTGTTCATAATATTTGTTTAAAATCCTTTGTATTTTTGTGGTGTCACTTATTATTTCTCCTCTTTCATTTCTGATTTTGTGTATTTGGGTTCTCTCTTGGTTTCTTCATGAGTCTAGCTAAGGGTCCATCAATCTTGTTTATCTGTTCAAAGAACCAGCTCTTTGTTTCATTGATCCTTTGAATTGATTTTTTGGTCTTCATGTCATTTATTTTTGCTCTGATCTTTATTATTTCCTTTCTTCTACTTGCTCTGGGTTTTCTTTTTGTTTGCTGTCTAATTCTTTCAGTTGTGAGGTTACAAAGTCACGTAGAAATTTTTCTTGTTTCTTGAGGTAGGCCTGTAGTGCTATGAACTTCCCTCTGAGAACTGCTTTCTCTGCATCCCATAGATTTTGTGTTGTTGTGTGTTCATTTTCATTGGTTTCCAGAAACTTTAAAATTTCTTCCTTGATCTCCATTGTAACCCATTCATTGTTCAATAACATGCTATTTAGTCCATGTTTTCAAATGTCTTTGCATGTTCCTATTGCAATTGATTTCTAGTTTCATGCCATTGTGATCTGATAAGATGCTTGATATAATCTCAATCTTCTTGAACTTGTAGAGACTTAGTTTGTGCCCTAACATGTGGTGTATCTTTGAGAATGTCCCATGTGCACTTGAGAAGAATGTGAATTCTGTCATGTGGGGTGTAATTCTCTGTAGATACCTATTAAATCCATTTGGTCTAGTGCTTCATTTAGACTCTGTTTCCTTGTTAATTTTTTGTGTACATGATCTATCCAGTGATGTCAGCATGGTGTTGAAGTCCCCTGCTATGATTGTATTGCTGTTGATTTCTCCTTTAAAGTCCTCCAGAAGACTTTTAATATATGTTGGTGCACCTATATTGGGTGCATATATATTTACCAAGGTTATATCTTCCTGTTGGATAGATCCTTTCAATATTATGTAGTGGCCTTCTTTGTCTCTAGATATGGCCTTCATTTATAGATCTAATTTATCAGATATGAGTATTGCTACCCCAGCTTTTTTTTCCTTTCCATTTGCTTGAAAGATTTTTTTTCATTCCTTCATCTTCAACCTATGTGAGTCTTTTGTTATGAGGTGGGTCTCTTGTAATCAACATATAGATGAGTCATGCTTTCTTATCCAATCAGCTACTCTGTGTCTTTTTATGGGAGCATTCAATCCATTTACATTTAAGGTGATAATTGATATGTACTTATTTATTGCCATTTTTGTTTAGTGTGGTTCTATTTTTCTTCCTATTTCTTCTACTAATTACAACATTCCTTTTAGCATATGTTGCAGTGCTGGTTTGGTGTTAATATATTCCCTTAGCCTTTTTTTTTTTTTTTTTTTCTTGTCTGAAAAGCTCTGTATTTGACCTTCTATTTTGAATGATAGCCTTACTGGATAGAGTAGTCTTGGATTCAGACCCTTGTTTTTCATGACCTTGATTACTTCATGCCACTCCCTTCTGGCCTGTAGTGTTTCTGTTGAGAAGTCAGCTGAGAGCCTTTTTGGGGTTCCTTTGTAAGTAACCTGTTGCTTCTCTCTTGCTGCTTTTAGGATTCTCTCTTTGTCTTTAATTTTGGGCATTTTAATTACTATGTGTCTTGGTGTGGGCCTGTTTCAGTTCTTCTTACTTGGGGCTCTCTGTGCTTCTTGAACTTGAATGCCTTCTTCCTTCATCAAGTTAGGAAAGTTTTCTGTCACTATATCTTCAAATACATTCTCGAACCCTTGCCCATTTTCTTCCTCTTGGGGGACTCCTGTGATGCGAATGTTATTACGTGTCATGTTGTCCCATAGTTCTCTTAAGCTGTCTTCCTGTTTTTTAATTGTTTTTTCCTATGGTTTTCTGATTGGTTGATTTTTTCTACCCTGTCTTCTAATTCACTGATCTGGTCCTCAGCTTCCTCTACTCTGTGGTTAGTCCTTCCAATGTGTTATTAATTTCTGTTATGTCATTCTTCATTTCCTCTTGGTTGGTTTTCAACGTTTCTATATCTTTACTCCTGGTGCTGATGTCCTTACTCATGCTGTTGAGCTTCAAGATCAAGGCTCTGAACTCTACCTCTGATAATTTGCTTAACTGTATTTCATTTATCTCATCTTCAATAGAATTCTCTTGTTCTTTCATTTGGGATTTGTTTCTTTGTTTTACCATTTGGCTATCTTAGTGGGTTTTGGAGCCTGCCAAATTTTCCCTGTGGGTGTTGGTGTTCTGCTGTTTTTGGCTCCCTCTACTTGGTTTGGGTGGGTCTGGGCAAGTCCCACATTAAACACAACTGTCAAGTCTTACTTTCCTGGGTAGATTTGGAAGCCCAGGAAATATTCAGTTATCCTCTAGCTTTTTCCTGGAGGCTAGTAGTCTCAGTTACTCAGTGCCTTGGAATGTAGCCCTGATGTTCTGCATAAGAGGATTTCCAGAGGGTGGGATAGATGCTGGTTGTTAATGAGCCTTAATTTGCATTTCATTGCCTCACCTGGGAAAGGCTGAATCTTTGAGGGGGTGGGGGACTGCTGCTTTTCCCCACAGCTCTGGGAAGGAGCACCCTGGCCACCACTGTCTTTTGTGGCCACAACTCAGCAAAAACTCTGAGTGCCCTCCAAATCCTGGTTGTCCTCATAGAGTTCCAGCCCAGTCTGCACTCCCTCTGCCGTAGCCCCCAGGTGAGTTGCTATGGCTATTTTAGTACTTTGTCCCAGCTCTCTGCATTGTGGAGCAGGGTTGGTCTTTATTTCCCATGGGCACTGCTCACAGCTGCTGCTGTCCCTGGGCTCCCCACGCGCCACCCTCTCACACCTCCACAGATCCTACCAGTGTTCCTGGTTATATGGTCCTGTCCTGCTGCTTTTCTGAGAATTTGTCTTTATTTTATTTGTAATTCCCATTTGGTCCTGGGAGATTGTCTGTGTAGCTTCCATTCACTCTGCCTCCATTTTTACATCCTCTAGGCCTATCTTGTGCGCAGCGGGGTCACACAGGTCTCTTTGGTGCCCCTGCACCCTGCAGGTTCCACGGGAACCTGGATTGCACAGTACCTTTGGGGACCCGGTTCTATGCCTATGTTATGGGCTTCTGGGTCGCACAGGCCTCTCTAGTGCTTCAGCACCCCACAGGTTCTGCTGGTAACTGGATTGCACAGTCCCTGCTGGGTCACACAGGCCTTGCTGGTGCCCCCGCACCCTCCAGGTCCCATGGGCGGGCATCTGGATTATACTAGTCTCTCTGGGGCTCAGGTTTCCCACTGCTCTTGTGAGCTGCTGGACTATACAGACCTCTGTGAAGCCCCAAGTCCTGCAGCTGGCAGCTGGGGAATGGCAAGTTTCTTATAGAAGGATACAACTTTTGGGTGAATGCACCCAGTGGGATGGAGTAGAGTCTGTGGAACTGTCCACCTTAGTGCCCCTGTCATTCCTGTAGAATGGCTTAATAGACAAACATTCATTGTTGGGAACAACACAGGTGCTTTAGCTGGCTGATCTTTGGCAGGTGGATGGACTTCTGGGGACCTCCATTTCTTCCTTGGCAAGAAAGAGCTAAACAGCACCTGCCTTCTGTGTGGATTATTGTGAGGGCTAAATGAAATGATGTACCATGAAATAATACACACCAAAGGAACTGCCCTTCGCATCATGGGCGCTAGTAAATCATTTACCTCAGTCTCTTCAGATGGCTCCCCACGAATACTACACTGTGCATTCTGTGAAGGAGGTACACCTGCAGCATTTCACAGTGCACAGAGCCCCACACAGGACCAACACATTCCGTTAGTAAAACTGAATTGCAATTGGAGATTAGGGGGAAATTGAGCTCCTCTAATGGAGAGTTCTGAGAACATCCCCTCTGATAGAATTGAAATTTTATCCGCTCTATATGTAAATCTGAGATGTATACAAGATATTTTTAAGATAAATATGGGTATCTGAAGATGATTTTTAAATGATTAAACTAAGAGCAACTGTTAATATTTTGATGTTTTCTAATTTAATTTTTTACTGTTTACCTGCTTGAAACTTCTTTTAATAGATATACTCTTATTTCTTACTCAGCACTCATGGCTCTTGTATTATGATCATAAATGTGCATGGCCTATTTCGGTTCACTGAACCAGCTTGCTCAGAGCACACAGGAGAAAGGCTACGACTAATAAGACTAAGAGAACAGTGGGTAAACGCAGGTCAGAGGAATGACCATGGGCGGGCAGCACACCCAATGCCTTTAGTGTCTGCTAAGTGAAATAAATGAATTTGATGGCTAAAGCAGAAAATTACAGAGTTGTGGGGATTATGATAAATGGCAGGATGTCCCTCAGTCTGTGACCCCAGCCCCTGCAGACAGTTACACGCAGCGAGCAGGCCACCGTGTGTTATGCAAAGAGCCAAAGTTTGAGAAAACCTCAGCATAATGCTTGCCAATTCCAAAGAAATCACCCGGAGGGCTGGCGGTAAAAGGTTTGGGTTTATTAAGATTTATGTGTGCACGAGGGTGGCCGCCAGTGAAATTTTCTGAAACGAGTACTTTTCTAGTACACGGTTATATAGAGTACAGAAAACAAAGCAAAACAGCTCGCTGCGGGAGAGGACGTGTTCCCGGGCAAGCCGTGTGAGGTTGAACTGCTAGCTGCTTCTCGCCTTTTCTTGACCAAGAAGCTGGCCAGGCTTCCAAGGCCTCACAGTCCGCTGACTGCTGGCCTTCATCATTGTCCCACAGCGGGGGACAGGGAGTTGGAGCATGGGAAGGGACCCATGCCATCACATACCATACTGTAGTCTAATATGATTATTTTATTGCAAATGCTGAAAATGTGATTGTGTACATGAAATCACCCCATATCCAAATTTTGGCAACTAATGAAATTAAAAGACACACGCGTCCCAGCCTCTGATTTGCGAATCCCGTGTAGCCACCTCGCAATGCTTGTTCGAGGAGATCCCAAGGGCCCATTAAGGAGCTGCTCCATGTTTTCCTCCACAGCTGCAGAAACATGACCAAGAGGAGGAAGACTCCCCGGCCTCGTGGAGATCGGAGGAGGACATGGCAGCAGAAGCCGCCGCGCTGCGGGCCTACTTTCAGTGATGCAGGTAAACTCTCCGCTCCATCCTCTGACCCTCCAGGGGCCTCAGGACGGGGCTCCCTGCCCAGGTTGGGACGTAGGAAAGCAGCTGCACCAACATCCTAGGGGGGTGGCTGCAAAAGACATAAAAGTCAGAATGGAGAGAACCCTGATTCCTGAGGCCTTATTCCAGCCGGTGAGCCCCCCTTCTTCCTGACACTGGCCCCCTGCTGGCAGCTCTCCGTCCCTGCAGGTCTTTCCAGCCCACATCCCCTCTCTCCTGTCTCCTCTTTTCTGATCCTGCCCTTCACCAATCCAGTTTCCACAGGCGATCCCAAGATCGTTTGTAACTCAAACCTGATCACTGAGGAGGCTAAAAGCCCTTAAGGGGGTCACATCATCCTGAGGCTCAAGTCCCAGAATTCCTCTGTCAGTCTGCCTGGTGCTGAGCCACCCCTCGTTCCCTCTGGGCCTCGGCTGCTGTTTGATCAAGTCCCCTTTGTATGTCATTTATCTTGGCTGCTAGGAAGCTCGGGCCACAGGGAAGGGTCAAGGGGAGATGACGGTTAACTGCTGGGAGATCATCGACTTCGGCTGCTGGTAGACATTTATAGCCAACCTCCTTTTCAGAATGCATACAAACACCAACTTTTTATTATTAGTTTTTTAAATCCTCACCTGAGGATCTTTTACCATTTATCTTTATGGAGGGAGGGAAGGAAAGAGAGAGACATATTGACTGGTTGCCTCCCACATGACCCTGGTGGGGGACCGAACCGAGGTACATGCCCTTGACTGGAATCGAACCCGCAACTCTTTGGTCTGCAGGCCCATGCTCTAACCACTGAAACAAACACGACATTTTTATACAATGTCAAGGGGTTCATGGATCTTCTGAAATGTATTAATAAATACAGCTGCCGAAAAATATTAGGATAAACCCAGATGAAAAAATTATTTGTGGTTTATCTGAAATTCCAATGAGCTAGACATCCTGTATTTTACCTGGCACCCCTGTTAATAAACCTCCTTAGGGATTCCCCAGATAAGGAGCCTCTCCTGAAAATAATTTATTTTTCTTAGAAGTATCTTCTTCATCTGGTCTTGTGTCAATGTGTTTATATTATAAGTAGGTCAGAGGCTCATTAAAACCACAATTAGTGAACAAAAAATAGCTGCAACTGACTTATATAAACTTGTATCAACCACTTAGTGATCATGATTTTTGGCTAGAAAACACATGTAGTATTTCCTTTTTACTTTGAAAAGTAAGCCCTTTTCAGTGAGTTTAAAATCTATGATAGCCTTTCCACACCCCGCCTCCTTTTTAAAGTATTCTGGTTTCTCCCAGAGTCAGTGCTAACTCCCTGTGCTTCGTATGGCACAGGTGTGTGTTGTGCTCAGGCCTCCGCGCTCTAGAAAGCTTATTTCTTTCTCCCAGGTCATTGGTTTGTGCGCTGGCTCGCGATTGCCTGAAGGGACATAGTGCGGTACTAGCAGAAGCTGTCTTGGGTACTTTATTTTCACCCTGTTCACCTTCTCATTTCTTTCTTAAGGATCAAGCTGGTATACCTGAGAACCTAGGCCCGAGGGCACGACTGCCATTCTCTTTCTATTCCTCTTCTGAAAGCTGGTGTGTCCTTTTGGAATGTCCCTTCCTAATGGGGTCACCGTTCTTCAGATCCAGCTTCCCAGGCTGATACTTTTCTGTCTGGGTTTCTTAGGTAAAGGATGCTTCCAGGTAGAGGCAAGAAAGCTCTAGGCTTTCCCTGAGGCTTGCTGAATTGCAGGGTTTTGTTTTACAATGTACTTTCTAGACACTTTAAAACTCTCAGCCAAGTTTCCAGGATGCTTTGTCCACGTCTTGCATCGAGGCCCGGCATCGCCTGCCCACCAGGTAAATCAAAGTGCCTTCTAAGCCCTACTCCCTCTCTTTTGAAAACGCATCTATCCACCAAATGTTTATACCATGTTAAAGAGCTCATAAGCTGCCATGCAATATTTGGACATCCCTATACTTTAAAAAAACTATTCATTGTTAGTCTGCAATCCGGGTGAACTTGGCCTCTCCAAGCTTTTTAATCGTACTCTCAGTACCAGTGAGTCGAGGCAGAGCCGGTTTACAGCCTTGGTGGTCTCACTCTGCAACACATACGGAGGCAGAGGGATGGGGCTGAGATTTACAGGACGTAGGTTCTTTATTATCCGCGCTACCGAGGGAGAGGAAACTGAGACTCAGTGATGTCAAGTGTTATTCCAAGGGAAATGGTTAGTAAGTGATGGAACTTAGATTTGAACCCAGACAGTTCAACCCCAGAGGCCGTTCTCCTAGTTTTGGTACTGCCTGCATCACCTCCCTATGCCGGCTCCCCTGGCGCCCTCCAAACATTTTCTGTAGTTTCTCCACCTGGTCTGCTGGCCTCCCTTGCTCCACAGAGGCAGCCCCCTTCCAGCCCTGCGAGACTTCCTTGTCAGCCTCGCTTACGCCCAGCACTGCCTGCCTTCACCCCGTGGCAGACTGTTCCAGACCCTGCCCGCCCCCTTCCTCCAGCATTCCACCGTGGGCCTAAGTGATGTTTCCCTAATTTCATTCATTCTCACTTTGGCATGAATTTTCTCATTTTGTGTACCTCCCAGGATATTGTTTCACTTTATTTATCTTAAAGTGTATATCATAGCCTCAATGACAAACAAGTATTACTGTAGTTAGAAGTGAAGCATGGAAGTAAATATAAAAGAAAAACAATGCTGATGAATTCCAGTTCTGCATCGTTGGTCACCCATAGCGATCCGAGGTTCCTTCTCTCTCTGTTAAGCAGAGGGGCTGGCCATCCTTGGGAGGCATTTCACCAAACTGAGACTCTCCATTTGACCTCTTCGAAAGAATTAAGAGTATAACCTCCAGTGGGATTCAGTGCAGATCACCTAAAAATACCTTATACAGGCAAATGAGACCCGTCTTTGGGAAACAGCAGTGGAGGCCAGAGTTGAAACCCACAGCAAGCTGGCTCCAGCCCCCAAGCCAGTGGTCCCCCTGTGTCTCCCCGGGCACATGTAGGAGAGCCAGCTTCCCTCAGATGACAGGCACACTCCTGGACCTATCCGCCAGATGTTTGAGGGCACCAGGCAGGAAGGGCTGACCCTACCCCATTGCCTCCCACGGGCACACTCAGTCTCTAGGCTGATTGAATCTGTCTACAAAAGAGAGAATGTGCAAACCTATACCCAGAGATGCCCTGTATCAGAAAATGGACTATCGTAGGCAAAAAGCTGCTCTCTGCTGGTGGAAATACCCAGAAATCATGCAATCGAGAGCAAACCCTACTCTACATCTTCTTTTTTGCTCCCTGTCTCTAACTTTGTTTGTATTGTTGACACAATTACAGATTTCCCCATTGCTCCGCCCCCACTCGGGCCATCGCCACCCTGCTGTGTCTCTGGGTTCTGCATGTTCTTTGGCTCATCCCTTCACCTTCTTTCCTCGGCACAGCACTGCCATAGCGCCGCAAAGATAAACGTTCCAAAACCAGCACCTGTTTCTCTTGAAGCCATGGCAACATTAGGCTCGTTATGTAGCATTCGCTTGATCTTCCCTTATAACCCTGCAGAATGTTTTGACCCTTCTCTGTATCCTTTGCCTAGCAGAAAATTACTTTGAATTGTGGTTTCTTAAACAAGAGGGGAAAACAGACGTTGTCTTTGCCGTGCCCAGAAAACGTCAACCATCTAAGGGTTACTGAATGAAGCTGCAATTGTCTGACTCCACCTGACAGGTCCGTGATGAGGCTGGCAGTCCTTTGGTTCCAGGAACTCAGTATCCGCCTTCTGCACGGTGAAGGGACGCCTTGCCGCCCCGCCCTCTGGGCTGGGTGTGGGAGGGGCGTCCTACCGTTGTTGCTCTTTTAGTCTGTGTTCTAAACCCCATTCGATGACCAGGGTCTGCATTCCTTACCTAATCTGCATCCTTCCTGGAACATAATCATTCTTTATTTCAGTATCCAATACTTGGCTTTGCTGCCCCTAAACACCCATGTTACATTTCCTCCTTCATGTCGGAGCACTGAGGTGTGTACGAGTGAGGGGGGATTTTGTAATCTCCCCACCCCATGCTGGGAGTGGTGGGGTGTGTTGGTTATGAAATATGCAAGCACCACCCCGTAACTTGTAAAGAAACTCAGAGCAGGGCAGGTTTCCACACTGTTGTGTCAGCAGAGTTCATTTATAATTCATCAAACTCTCCTCTGTGCGTGGCATTATTTTATAGATAATTGGTTGCCTCTCATTTACTCATAACAGAGCCCTGCAGTTTCAAAGCAACTGAGTCAGCCCAAAACAGCATTACTAGCAGTTACAGATATACTATCAAGGCAAAATGTTGACACTTGCATTTTTGAAAAAATTACCATGATTTTAGCCAGTGGACCACACATATCATATTCATGGACAGTCGAGGTAGACAAGAAAGAACAGGTTTTTTTTTTTTTATCCTCACCCGAGGACATTTTTCCATTTTTTGTTCAGATAGAGTGGGAAGGAGAGAGAAACATTGATGTGAAAGGGACACATCTAGTGGTTGCCTCCCACCCGACCCAGGCCAGGGACACACTGCAACCGAGGTACGTGCAGGAACCCAACCCAGGTCTCTCTGGACCACAGGCCGATACTCTAATCGCTGAGCCAAACTGGCCAGGGCAAGGACAGGTTTTCTTAACAAGTATGCATTCTGGCCATTGAATTATACCTTGTGAAATCTATCCCCCCGGCTGGAGAAACCTCCGCCTTCTCGGAGAGCGTCTACTCTGAGCACAGGGGAGATCCTAGGACCGGCACCTGTACTCTAGGAAGGCGAAGGGGTGACTTCAGTTCCTTTAACCAGTTTGATCCTCTATTGACTGGGTAATCCCCACATGGGGATATGGTCAATACCAATGAAAATGTTTGCCAACACTCTCTCAGCCTTCCCCAAACTGCTAGGATAAAATGTTTTCCTGCCCTGGCCAGTGTGGCTCCGATGGAGTGTCGTCCTAT